TATAAAAATGTACAACTATTTAAGTCTACCAACCAGTTAAAGTGTATCCACCTCTGGAAAGGCACAAGTGCTTTTAACCTCTGAGTGATCTCTCCAGCCTTCCTTTTTCCTTTGAGATGGGGGGGGGGGGGTCTCACTATGTAGCCCTGATTGGCCTTGAACTGACAGAGATCTACATGTCTTTGCCTCCTTCATACTGGAGCTAAAGAAGTGAGCCACCACACTCAGCTCCAGTTTCCTAAAAAGAAATAAAATAAAACACTCTCAAACAAAAGGTGTAAGGACTCTGCAACACCTTTTCAGTCCCTAATCCCAACAGACTGAAGGTGTTTTTACGAAGCAGCCCGGACTTGGGAGCTTCGGGAGCCTCCAGTGGATTCCTGGGACAATCCTAGCTCTCCTGAATGGGGTCATTCTTGGGGAAGACCAGAAGAGAAATGGCTGTAGCTTTTCCATCGAGGGAGGCTGGCCTCTGTGGGCCTTGTGTCTTTGTGACTTGGTAACACTAGGGCACATTCTGCCTTAACACAGCTAAGGGTGTGAGCAAGTGGCACCAAAAATAGCAGTAAGGCATCTGGGGAGGGTGTCACACAGGAGGCAGGGGCAGGGCGGGGGCCATCTGCCAGCCCCTACCCCGCCCACTCTCAGATGCCTTCCACTCTTGTTCTGCCTCCAAACCCCTTTCCTCTTTCCTCCATCTCCGAGAGGGCAGGAGACAGCAAGGTGAGCCGGGGACAAACACCTGCCTGTGAGCCTGAGTGAATGCTGACTCTGGAAACTTTGTGAGTCTCCAGGGGCGAGCAAGGTGGTCATGTGGGAAGAAAGACGGAACAAGGACAAAACCTACCCACTAGTTACCCGAATACAAGCCTGAGCCAAGCCAGACATCCTTGCTTGAACATTCAGGGTGAGGTGAGGTAAGCAACACAGGAGGCTTGAAGCCAAGCCTGCAAAGACTGTGGAATGCTGGCGATGGTGGGCACTGTTTCTTCCTTGGTGGTGTCCACTATCAAGTACATCAAGGAGGGAGCTGGACACAGGTCTATGCACTTTCCGAGCATTTGATCAGCCTGGCTTTGGAGGAAGTTAGAAAGTGCCATGACTCGGTGTTATCAACTGTAAAATGGGGCTACAGTAATGTCTGCCTCGTGGCATTTCCATGAGTATAGAAGGGTCAGTGCACACAGATGCATGGGAGCCTTTTGGCACAAAAGCTAACAGGGCGTCTGTGCTTCCCACGATCACACCGGGCAGGATTTTCTTATCTTTGCCTGATATAGGTGGCTGAATGCGTGCTGCCATTGGTGGTTTTGTTTGTTTGTTTTTTGTTTTGTTTTGTTTTGATTTGATTTTCCACAGTGGTGTCCAGAGGCGAGCACTAATCATGCAGTTTATAGCTGTGGAAACAGGCCTAGAGGTGGAGTGACTTAAGACCATGTCTGCAGGAACTGTCGAGCTGGAACTCCGAGGCCTATGCAGTTATTCAGTCAGCTACCTGAGCCAGAGAGCCTCTTCTCTGTTTACCTGCCCCCACCTGGCTGGTACCATCTGGATTCTTTCCATTCAGGCCTTCTCATGGGAGATGCTTGGTCTGGGGGAAACTGTTCAGGAAGTTATCAACCAGTCAACCTACACTTACTAATTGCTAAACTCGTGTCAGGTGCAGGGGTAAGAAGGCGGTAAGATGAGGGGACCAGCACACTTGTCCCACACCAGAGGTGTGTGTGTGTGTGTGTGTGTGTGTGTGTGTGTGTGTGTACACTCATCCATAAGTAACCAGGCTAGAAAGAGGAGGGACAGGGTAAGGCTTCAGAGAAGAAGGGACATGTGTGTGCAGTCTGGTCAAAATCTGCCCAAAAGATACGGCAGGAAGGGAATACCAGGCAGAGGGAAGGCTTGGATGGATGCCAGGAGATTAAGAAGACATATTAAGCTATGCAAGAGCAAAGAGAGGGCCAGAGTCTGGGGGTGGGGGTGGGATTCTAGAGGAAGGGCCAGAAAGCATCAACTGGGGAAGAGCTGGGAACTCAAGGGCAATGGAGGTCATTGAGATTTTAAAAGGGAGGTGGCTCTAGAGAGATGGCTCAGTGGTTAAGAGCACTTGCTGTCCTTGCAAAGGACCTGGGTTCAGTTCCCAGCACCCATCTGCTGTCATGAATCCAGTTCCAGGGCATCTGGCTCCCTCTGATCTCCACGGCACCAGGCATGCATGCCATCCATAAACACACATTCAGGCAATCACTCATTACATACAAAATAAAAGTAAATCTTCAAAATTTAAGGGAGGGCCCAGGGAGCCAAAATGGTGGCTCAGTAATTAAAAGCACTGGCTGCTTTTCCTGAAATCCTGAGTTCAATTCTCACCCACATGGCTGCTCAAATAGACTACAACTGTAGACTCGCGAGTCCCGATGCTTTTTTCTTGCGTGCAGGCAAAACACCCATATGTATTAAAAAAAAAAAAATACATTTTGGGTTGGTATGATGACACACCCCTTTAATCCTAGTACCTGGGAGGCTGAAGCAGGCAGTTCTACAGAGAGAGTTCCAGATCAGCCAGACCTACACAGAAAAAACCAAAAAGAAAAAGAAAACGTACAGAGTGGAGGGATGCTGGTGGTACTGGGAGCTCTGGGGGGCAAAAGTGTCCTTGGGCCCTGGGCGGGCATGATGAGCCAAGCCAAGAGGGTTATGGGCCCTTTAATGAGCTGGCTGGGGTGATACTTTGTATCTACATGACTACCTAGTAAGACCCTGCTTCAGAAAACAGCCAGAGTGGTGGGGGTGCATGCCTGTAATTCGAGCCCTTGGGAGGCAGAAGCAGGAGGATTTCTGTGAGTTTGAGGCCAGCAAGGTCTGCAAGTCAAGTTCCAGGACAACACAGAGAAACCCTGTCTCAAAAAACAAAAACAAAAAGCAAACAAAAACAACAAGCCTGTGAATGTAGTCTAGTTGATGGAGTACTTGACTAACGTCTACGAAGTCCTGGGTTCAGCTCCCAGCATGGCATAAAGCCAAGCATGGTGGCATATACCTGACATCAAAGCACTCAGGAGATAGAGGCAGGAGGTTAAGTACAAGTAGCTCAAGGTCATCTTCACTACATAGCAAGTTTGAGCCAGCCTGAGCTACATGAGACTGCCTCATAAAACAAAACAGGGGCAGCTCAGTGAGTAAGAGCACTGGCTACTATTCCTGAAGACCAGAGTTCAATTTCTGGCACCCACATGGCTCACCACTGTTTGTAACTTGAGTTCCAGCTGTATCAGATGTCCAATTCCCTCTTCTGACTGCTGGGAGGCACTGCATTCAGGTGGCTCACAGACATACGTGCAGGAAAAACACATAAAGTAATAAAAAAGCAACAAGTTAAGTGCAGAATACTACATCAAATATGTAATATTAAAAAAGAAACACACCAAGGCCAGCCTGGTCTACAGAGTGGGCTCCAGGACAGGCTCCAAAGCTACAGAGAAACCCTGTCTTAAAAACAAAGCAAAGCACACACACTCACACACACACCCTCATACACACACGCCCTCATACACACACACTCATACACTCACACACCTCACAATACACTCTTCTCACACACTCACAAACACACACACTCATACACATACACTCATACACACACACTCACACAACTCATACACACTCACACACTTAAACTCACACACACTCATATACACGCTCATACTCACACACCTCACACACACTCTTCTCACACACATTCACACACACAAACACACTTATACACACTCACACAATTCATACACACACTCACAAACACTCATACTCACACACACTCACACACATATATACACACACTCATACACACATTTACATTCACACATTCACACACACTCTTACACATTCATTCACACACTCACATGCACATTCACACACACATACACACTCACACTCATACACATACACTCATACACATACTCACACACACTCTTCTCACACTCACATGCACATTCACACACACTTATACTCACACTCACACACCTCACACTGATGGGAGATGCCATTCTGTATATATGTTTCTCATACTGGTTAATGAATAAAGCACTGTTGGCCAATAGGAAAGGAAGATAGGAGGGACTAGGAGACCAAGAGGAAAGAGAAAGTAGGGAGGAGGAGTCAAGATGGAAAGTCTGGAGAAGGTAGAATCGCCAGCTGCCTCTGGCTGGTAAGACCACGTGGAAATACATAGAAATGTGTTAATAATTAAGACAGAGCTAGACAACAAAAAACAAGTAACTGGCCAACAGCATTATATCAAATACAGAGTCTCAGTGTGTTCATTGGGGCAGGTGCGGCGGCTGGACAAGACCAGCGGCAGGAGGAAAAACCCTAGTCCTTACATCACACACACACACACTTCTCACACTTTCACACTCATTCACACACTCACACACACTCATACTCACACACACATGCTCATACTCACACACTCATACACACACTCATTCACATACTCACACTCACTCATTCACACACACAGTTCTCACACACCTCACAACACAGTTCTCACACACTCACACACACTCATTCACACACACTCACACACTCATACACACATACACACATTCACGCACACTCACACACCTTACACACTCTCCTCTCCCACACTCGCACACTCACTCACACATACTCTCACACACTTGCACACTCACAAAACACTCACACATATTCACACACACTCACAATACACACATTCACATTCACACACACACTCACACACACATACACACACTCATACACACACTCACACACATTCACATACACACATTCACACACACACACACAAGCCCACTGTGGTCACCAGGAGACAATTAGGGGACACTATGTGTGAGGACAGTGTCTACCCCAGATTCAGTGCTCACTCTGGGAATGGAAGGAGGTGGCACTCTGGGCAAGGCTATTCCCAGCTGCTCTGACACCTCCTCCCCCTCCCTGCCCCTCCCTGGCCCTCCCTGCCCCTCCCTGCCCCCCCTCATGCTCCAGCCTCTGTGTCTGTCACTCACAGGGCTGGCTAGGCTGGGGCAGCTATGGCAGCAGCAGTAACTTGGATTCCTCTCTTTGTGGGCAAGTTGGGGACCTTCGGGGGAGGGACAGGATGAAGGGTGGAATTTAGGGGTTGTGAGGGAGAAGAGTAGGGGGTCCTAAGAAGAGGGGTTTGGTGTGCATGAGGTAGGGACTGGAGGGTTTGGGGGCAGTAATGATAAGCAATCAAGGAGCCAGGGGCAGGGAGCTGGGCTCTGGAGGATGGGTGCTGGTGATTTTGAGGGCAGGGATGTCCTAGAGCCCTGGGTGGGCATGACAGGACAAGGGAAGAGGGTCGTGGGCCCTTTAATGAGCTGGCTGGGACGCTACTTCTGGCAGACCAGGCTAAATTTGGCCTTAAGAGGGAAGGCAGAGGCAGCCTGGGCAAGTCCACTTTGCTGGGCTCCTATTGGCCTGCATTGCAGACCCTGTTCCATGTTCTTCTCCGGGAGTTGGGGGCCTCAGAATATCTACCCCTTTTCTGAGGGCCCTCTCTACTTCTAGCCTCCCAGACATTTGTTATGGGGTTCTTTTGCAAGTAACCTGGACACACACAGCATACCCTTTTCTCAGCCAAACATTAGTCCCCTCCCACCGTGGGCCTAAAACACGGAGTAAAAAGATTGCTGGGGGTCACTCCCGTGAATCCAAAGCCAACAGAAGCCTGGGACTTGTCACCTCCGAAGCCTTGCAGCAGAACAGGGTCTGCAGCCCACCATGGAGCCAGCCTGGGGCCCTCAGCTCTCAGCTGTGCTGTGGGGAAGAGAGCTCACACCCCTCCCATGACTGAAGCTGCGTGTTTGGGACTTATGGGGACCCCACAGGTCTTCTGGCAGGGCTGAGGGACACCAGGGCCCAGCAGACAGCCTTATACCCACTTGTGGGTCGTCTTTTCGTGCATCCCTTGGAACATGCCACCTTCCTGCGCCTCCCAGAACACATTGGTGAGAGAGGGACCAGGTGGGCTGGAGAGTGCCGATCCAGATCTCCTGCCCCGTGTCCAGTTTCCAAGACTCTCTTGTGTCTCTCATCAGCAGTGCCACCTACTGTGCGACTCACCTACCAGGCCCACCTCCAGGGACATCCAGACCTGCCCCGGTGGCTGCGCTACACACAACGCAGTCCCTATAGCCCTGGCTTCCTCTATGGTACTCCCACTCCAGAAGACCGTGGGCGCCAGGTCATTGAGGTGCCAGCACAGAGACATCCAGACCTCCTGGGGGTGTGACCACTGGGGCCTCGTGGGACTGGCCCTGCCAGTGGGATTGGGTGTTTATGCTTGTGTATTTACATATAAATTGCACACACTCCATTTGTGCCAGCTTCCCCTTCGCCCCACTCCTCAGCCCTCTTTCCATTCCCCCAGGTCACAGCCTACAATCGTGACAGCTTTGACACTACTAGGCAGCGGCTGCTGTTGCTGATTGAGGACCCCGGAGGTACTTCCATTCCTATTCTATCCCTCCAATGGCATCAGCCTTGCCCGGGAAAGAGAATGTTGGGAAGCAGTGGGGAGAAGGCGCCCTGGAGAGGGGGCACCAGGGCAGATGTGGAGTTGATAGCTTTAGGGGCAGAGTTCTGGATGGAGCTCCCCACAGGCTTCAGGGTTCTAGGCTGCAGTGGTGGAGAGGGGAACTTATGGCCTGTGGTGTGTGTAGGCTGTTGGGGCAGAGGTGGTGTGGGGAAAGTGGGAAAGCTTGGAGGAGGCGTAGGAAGCACTTGGGGAACCGAGCACAGAGTGGGGTGCAGTTAAGTGCCAACTTGGCCTCCCCAGGTCCCCAGTTGCCATACCAAGCCGAGTTCCTGGTACGCAGCCATGATGTGGAGGAGGTACTGCCCTCCACACCTGCCAACCGCTTCCTCACCGCCTTGGGGGGACTCTGGGAGCCAGGGGAACTCCAGTTGCTCAACATCACGTCTGCCTTGGACCGTGGAGGTCGCGTCCCTCTTCCCATTGAGGGCCGGAAGGAAGGGTAAGGGGGCAATCCTGGAGGGCTTCCTGGTTGACTGGAGAGTGGACTAAAAATAGCCATCTCCCCAATTTCCCGGTTACCACTGTGGCATACCTTCATCATGGCCATCTCTTCTCTTTGATTCACACACTACTGACCATTCCCTCCCATCTCCTTGGGTTCACACCCTCATCACCCTGAACTCTGTATTTACTGACACTCTATGAGGATACATGCGATCCATCTGTTAAGTCATTCCTGGGGTGCTTAAGAGTGGGGTGCTCTGACATGGTCTCAGGTCTTGGGGGCTTTGATCTCTCCTACCAGGCCCTGATGTGTCTCCCATGGGCCACCCCTATTCACCTCCAGGCCCTTGCCTACTGGCAGGACACCTTCACCTCTCCCTAGCAGAGTGGTGCCCTACCTATGTCCACTGTGCTGACAGTGGCTTCTTTCTGCCTCAGGGTATACATCAAGGTGGGCTCTGCCACGCCCTTCTCTACCTGCCTGAAGATGGTGGCATCACCAGACAGCTATGCACGTTGTGCCCAGGGACAGCCTCCATTACTGTCCTGCTATGACAGCTTGGCACCCCACTTCCGAGTTGACTGGTGCAATGTATCTCTGGTGAGGAGGGGTCCTGGCTCTAGGGTTGGGTTTAGAGTACGGTTCTCATCAAGTCTTCTCTATTTCTCTAGCCCAGCTTTTTTCTTTCTCTGATAGGGCCAGTTTGGGTCTCAACATCAGTCTATGGTCTCTGTCATGGGGACACACACACACACACACACACACACACACACACACACACACACACACACACAGTTCTATTTCCTGCCACAAGAGGGTGACAAAGCTTACATTACAGTTTGCATCCAGACTCCCTAGCTCTGAATGCCACATCTGCTTAGCCTTACAGCTGAAACTACCAAAAGTTTCTAAGCCGGAATTCCAGCGAGGGCCTCTGTGTGGCAGCTCTGTTTGCTTCCATGGGAAGTGTCACCAAACAAGGCTGCCTGCAATAAGAGGCTCATTGATGCTCTTGGTGATGTTTCAAGGGATTCTAGAGATCCTGACTCCCTGGCTGGAAACTCTGTTCCTAGGAACCGGCAAAAGGGGGACTCCATCAGGGTCCAGTGATGGTAGCCTACTGAAGGCTGTGTACTCCACACCAGATCCCCAAAATGTTTCACCTCCATGATTCACTGCAGAGACAGGCACACTATCACCACTCTGGGGCAATTTACCCCAGTGAAGCAGTGAGTGACCATTGCACATCCCTGCTTCTCCTAGAACTGGCTTCTCCTAGCCTCTCATCCAGTGATCATCCTGTAGTCACATGGACTAGAGGAGGCAGGCAGGAAGGTGTGTGGTTACATGGGGTTGATAGGTTGGTGGTTGCCATGTCTCCTGTGGGCAGTGTCTCTGTGTCCATTGAGATGCTCTGGACTTCACACAGGTGGACAAGTCAGTGCCAGAACCCCTGGATGAGGTGCCTACTCCAGGTGACGGGATCCTGGAGCACGACCCATTCTTCTGCCCACCCACTGAGGCCACAGGCCGAGACTTCCTGGCAGATGCTTTGGTCACCCTCTTGGTGCCCCTACTGGTGGCCCTACTGCTCACCCTGCTACTGGCTTACATCATGTGTTGCCGGCGTGAAGGACAGTGAGTGTGCTGGCCAGGGCGGGCAGCAGGCTGGGACATCTAAGGGACCGCTCTGGGACTGGGAGGGGGAGCCCTAACTTCTCAGGGAGTGAGATTCTCAACTGTAAGAGGGCCCCTTTTCTAAACAGACGGGGATCCATTTCTGTCTGGCTTGCAACTAGGAGGGGTTCTGAATATATAAGCACATGGGATTCTTACATGGGAGCTCTTGGTACACCATGGAGCAAAGCCAGACTGGTACTAAGCTCCCCAATGTCCATTTTTCCACAGGCTGAAGAGAGACATGGCCACCTCTGAGTGAGTAGAACACAGTTGGGGGGGGGGGTGACTGGATAGGGGAGCTCTCCTGGATTGTTGAATTGGACTCTTTACTCTTTATGAGCAGCAATGACCCCGAGCCTTGGCCCTGGGCTGAATGGAAGCTAAGTCCATGTCCTGACCTTGTCTTCGTGTCCTGGTCTTAGAAGAGGCTATTGTGGCATAGGGGAAGGGGACCTGCCACTGTACAGAGGAAAGGGGCGTGAGAAGTGACAGGAGGCACTGAGTCTCCATCCCTCTTTCCTTCATTCCTTCCCACCCTCCTTACTGTGAACCAGACACCTGGCTGGCCTCTGATTTTTCCTGTGTTAGAGGCGTGGCTGGCCTAGCTGATGGCGATGTATATATACTTTGACTCCTACCACATCTTTCCAAATCTATCTTATTCTGCCTCAGATTCCCCTGGCCGTGGCCTCCTCCCTGACTCTTTGCCCCTGAACCCCTGGCTTGATTTCCCACCCTCTGAACCCCAAAGATTCCAGAAGAACGTTGTGAAATAAGTTGGGCTTTTTATTCCCACTTCACTGAGCTTGTGGCAAGCCTGGCGCCCTGCCCAACCAGCCTTATTAATGGCGGCCTTTGGCCACCCTACGAGCTCCTTTCAAAAGCCGGTTACGGCTTTTTCTGGAGCCTGGTGATGACTGGCGTGGTCCAGACCGGCGGCGGCGCTGCCCAGGCTTTTGCCTCCGCACTTTACGCTGGCGTCTCTTGGCCTTGCGCTTGGGCTTGAAGGCCTGCTTTTTGCCTAGGCGGAAAGAACCCGAGGCACCCCTGCCAGTCACCTGCTTGAGCATGCCTTTCTTCAGTAGATTCTGGAGTGCACGCTTGAAGCGCCAGCTGTTGTGGGTCATATTGTAGCCTGTGGTGGTCAGAGCTTTCTTCAAGGCAGCAAGGGACACACGGCTGTGAACTCCCTTGTCAGCCACAGCCTTCAGAATCACCGCTGACATGCTGGGCTTCCGCAGGGTTTGGGGGCTGGTGGGGGACCCAGTCTCACTCTTGCTTGGGTCCCCTGATGTGCTGGCATCTTGGTCTACAGCCACCACAGCATTTGGGGCTGCAGACGGTGACACCAGGGGAGTGTCTCTCTGCATCTCTCCCCCTGGGGGTGGCTGAAGGGCATTGGATGCTGTGTCCTCCAGGTTGGCGGCTGGAAGTATCTACCTGGTTATTCTCAGTAGTGGGTGAGCTGTGTTCTAGCTTCTGCTTCCCTCAGAGGCTCCTCTGTAGCGGTCTGGGCCACACCTCCTGGGTGGCTAGAGGGAGGACCGAGAATGATCACCCGCGGTCGGCCTCAGCAGATTTGTGCTATAGGCCCAGGGGCTGGTGAAGCTGTGACCTCAGGAAGCCATTGTGAGGTGGGCAGAATCCTGTGTGGGTCATAGTAGCCCCCTTGTCTCTTCTTAAGAAGGTCAGAGGCATCAGATAATGGGGACACCTTTCAGAGGAGGGCTATAGCTGGATGATCCCACACAGAGAGTGCCTATGCATATATGGCACATATATGCATTTCTGAACCAATTCCAGGGCATTTGGAATCCTCACGTTTGTTTATTATTTAGTGCTGCTGTGCATGGAATCCGGGTTTCACACATTAGGCCTCTTCCATCCACTCTTTGCATCTTTATGTCTCTAAGTGGAAAAAATGCTAACATGTTGTGTTTATTATTTCGAGACAGGGTCAACTTTTGGGGGGAGAGGGTGTTGAGACAGGGTTTCTCTGGATAGCCCTGGCTGTCCTGGAACTCATTTTATAGACTAGCGTGGCCTCCAACTCACAGTGATCTACCCGCCTCTGCCTTCTAAGTGCTGGGATAAAAGGTGTGCACCACCACCACTACCAGAGACAGAGTCAAACTACGTAGCCCTTGATGGATAGGAATTCCCTATATATGTCAAGTTGCAGTGATCCATCTGCCCCTGCCATGCTGGGATTAAAGGTATGTGCCACCATGCCTGGCTACATTTATTATTTTGAGATGGAGTGCTGGCCTTAATATACAGCTGAAAATAACCTTAAACTTCTGGTCCTGACTTTACCTTCTTAGTGCTAGAACTTACAGATGTGCCACAGCTTGTGTGGTGCTAGGATGGAACCCAGGGCTTTATGCATGCTAGGCAAGCGCCAATGGAACTCTTCCAATACACATAAACATAAGAATTATAATAATGCTTCTTAAACGAAGAATGTAATTTTCAGAGTAAAGTGCAATTCCTTGATTTATGTAAATTAATCAGTCTTCCCCATGAAACTGTTAAAACGCTTTATTAAACTGGATATGGTGGTCCATGCCTGTAACCCCAGCACTGTAGAGGTGGAGGCAGGAGGATCTCCACTTAGCTGTTGGAGGCCATTCTGGGTTCCATGAAAGCCTGTCTCAAAACCAAAAAGAAAAAAAAAAAGGGTTTGGGTTTTGTTTTTGTTTTTTTTTTTGAGACAGGGTCCTTTATTATGTAGCTCTGGTCATCCTGGAACTCACTATATAGACCAGGTGACCTCAGGCTCACACAGAAATCCACCTGCTTCTGTCTCCTGGGTATTGGGATTAAAGGCATGTGCATTAAAGGCTGGGTTTTTATGTCTTATATTTGTTTCCACTTTATAGATTTCTTCCAATGAGATAAATAATTTTGGCATACATCTCACAAGGAGGATTTTTTTTAAATAATTGTTTTGTGGGTTGTGACATATTTGATCAGTTGTGTCACTGGCATTGTGACTTTTCTTTTGTGACCAATGTTGTTTACCACTTGTAGCTTTCCTGGATCAGCTTGTAACTCTGATGCCAGGGAGACCTGCTTCCTTCTTGATTGTAACCAATAATTTTGCCCTGTGTTCAAGCTAGCCCAACTTTTGTGTTGATTTAGTCCTACCATATACAGTTACTTTACCTATGTCAATGTCTGCTATTTTTCAAATTGGCTGTAAATAATGACTTTGCTGCCTGGCTGTCGCCTGTATCAGATCTGACTGGTCACAAAGTCCTCAAGGCCCCAGTGGCACTGCCCTGTGGGCCTGTGTGTTGGAGGCAGAATGTCTGTTGGTGGTAGAGAGACCTATGACCACATGGGTGTGCATGTGTCTGTGGGAGTGTGTTTGTATGGAGCAGTGCCTGCCTGCTCTCCTATCTGCCTGAGCACTTACACCAAGCCCCTTGGGACGGTTCCATTGGGTTTGGTGTCTGCTCTTCTGCTCTTCTTGGGAAGATTTTTCCACCTGTGTATTCTTAGAGTTATGAGACCCAGATGTAGGGCTGGGGGTGGAAGGGGCTGGTTGATAAGGCTCTTTCCTAGCATGGGGGACACACCTCCCTCACTGGCCCCTCTTAGCATCCACACACTTGCTCTCATCCTTCCAGAGACTCTCCTCCCCCAGGGATGGGAAGTTGTATTTTTGACAACTCATTTTGTCAGATTCCACATTTAGGAGCTTATCTAACTCTGTCTGGCCTTTGACAGTGACCTTGCTTCTTTTTCTGGACAGTGGATACTCATCCCACTCCCAAGGGGAGTACCACCGCTTCTCCAGGTCTGCCTGCCCTTCAGTGGTCTAATATCTTGGGCTCTTGTGTGTGTGTGTGTGTGTGTGTGTGTGTGTGTGTGTAATAGTCCTACCAGCTATCCTGGAACTAGCCCTACATAGAGATCCACCTGCCTTGCAGGTGCTGGGATTAAAGATGTGCACAACCACTGCCTGACCCCCCCCCCATTTTTTTAAATGTATATGAGTGTTCTATGTGCATGTGTATTGCGGTAAATAAGGATCAGGATAAACAAATAAGCCGAATAGATGTTTATTCAGGGAGAAATAACTTACAACCTAGACAGAAGAACACCAGGAAATTCAACCCGATCCTCTCCTGTCCGAGTCACGCCAGAAAGAGAGCCTTCCTGGCCCACTCCGACCTCCTTCCTCAGGTCACCTCCGCCCATAGCTCCACCCCCCAATGGGCGTGGTCAGTGCTACAGAAGGACTACCTCACTACAATTCCCCTTTTAGTCTAAAGAAAAGATTTAGGCTTAATACAAAACTATATACAAAACAGTGAATAACAAGTGTGCTCTAAGAAAAGGAAAATCGAGAACAAAATGACCTACATATCTAGTCCTAGGGTGAGGGCATAATGGAGTTTACAATAGAGTTGTCCTAAGCTGGAAAACGTAAGTCTAGTACCTAATATATCTAACTAGGAAGAGAGAATAATAGTTGTGATAGTTTAATCTTCAACCTCATCAAGACCTGAGAAGGAAAATAACAATACTAGAGTAGACAGGAAATGCGGATGGACAACTTCCAAAACGGTGCAGCAAGGACAGAAACAGCAAGCCACCTGAACAGTCACCCTAGGTCTCACAGCGACGTTGGTACACCCAGATTTGGCTAAGGCCAAGAGAACTTGACAGACCACAACAACAGCAGGGAAATAGAATGGCTGTCTTACCCTGACTTGGCAAGGTCAAGCAGTCTTCTATATTTGTCTCCTGCAAGCACATAGGACTGCATGTCCAAATCAGTGGTCAAGGTGGGGGCTATTCTATGCCCAACAGGCCATTAGCTGAGGCGAGATTGAACTCCAGCAGGAGCAACAACAGTGTCCAACATATTTTCGGGAAAATGCACGGTGCTGTCAGGAGCAACAGTGTCTCATGTCAATGGAGTACTAATATTAAAACATTTAAATGCCATGTTCTGCATGTCTATGAAGGATTGAAGATTAAGCATCTATATCTGACTAATCTCATAGGTACAGGAAATGTGAGTGAAGATAATCTGTAATACTCGGGAACTTAGCTAAAAAGACTGATTAAAACTTTCCTGAGTAAAGCAGGAACAAATACTTAAACAATATAACTATTTACATATACCTACATGTAAATCCCTAAAATAGAGGTAGAGTATAAGTGTCAAGACAAGAGGTAGAACTATAAAGGGCAGCAAGATAAATATCCCAAATTGTATCAATATACAAAATGTCTTGAACACAAGAAAAGTATACATACATAGAATATGGTAAAAAATAATGTGCATAAATATTATAAGTGGAAACATTTAACACAATATAACAAAATATAAACTTAATTTTACATAGCTTACCACATAGGAATACATAACAATGTAAGCTGTAAAATACTATCTCATTCATACTCAAATTCTCAAGGAAATAGGCTAATCTACTTATATCCCATCTAAACCATACCTTTACCCACCATTCCCTATTCCTACCTCACTACACATGTGGGTAGGCCTTTAAGGAAGAAGGCATCAGATTCCACTATAGATGGTTGTGAGTCACCATGTGGTTGCTGGGAATTGAACTCAGGACCTCTGGAAGAGAAGCCAATGCTCTTAACCACCTAGCCATCTCTCCAGCCCTCCAATTCTGTTTTTTTTTTTTTTTTTTTTTTTAACTGTTTTTGAGATGGCTTCATAGTTTCATTGTATAATCCAAACTGGCCTCAAACTCACAATGCTCCTGCCTCAACCTCCTAGCAGAAAAATTCATTGTTTACAAAGAAAATCTCTGCTCTGCCTTGATGATCAGGAGTTTGAGGAGATGTCACCAAACTAAGCCAACAAACAAGGTGGGTTCATGTAAAGGAGACTTGACAATAACTTCCCCTAGAGGTCAAATTTATCACTGGGCTGGCTATAGTAAAATATAGCTTCCTTGGGCTGGAGAGATGGTTCAGTGGTTAAGAGCACTGCCTGCTCTTCCAAAGGTCCTGAGTTCAATTCCCAGCAACTACATGGTGGCTCACACCATCTATAATGGGCTCTGGTGCCCTCTTCTGACCTGCAGGTATATATACAGGCATAAATATATATGTAATATTTAAAAAAAATAGTACCACAGAGAGGTTTAGCAATTTGCCAAATGTCACAAACCAGTAAGTAATAGAAGCCCCCCGTGAAAGAAAACCAAGTTAAGTCTTGACCTTTGCTCCTGTGCCAACCTGCTGTTCAAATGTAGGGCAGCTCGCTCCTGAACAACAGAAAGCAAGGACCCAGGACTGTCAGGTGATTAAAGCTAGCCCTGAAGCTGGAGTTCAGGAAAGGCCTCCTGTTGGGTGTGGCCATTCCCTGCAGTAGGGGTTTCCAAGTTCCTGGTCTGAAACAGAGACAGGGAGGCAAGTACAGGGCAGAGACAGGGCAGGGGGAGGGGTATCAGGTACAAAGGAACAGAGATCAGGTTCAAGGAGCCCATGTAATAAGCTCCAGAGCTTGGTGGACCATGGGGAAGGCATTCCCAGAAGGCTCAAGAGGAGGTGAAGGAACGGGTCAGGTGGCCAGACTAACATAAGGATGGGAGGAAAGGGAAAGTCTTGATGTTTGGAATTAGTACTGAGGGAAGTTCCTGAATTCTAGAAGGAATTGAGAGGACCATCAGAATATAAAAACATCATACAGCTGGGGATGCAGCCAGTTGGGTGGGTACTCGTCTAGTTATGTGCCTGGGTTTGATCCTTAGTATCACATAAACTGAGTATGGTGTTATGTCCCTGTGATTCTAGTTGGGAGGTGGGAGCCGGAGAATCATGAGTTCAAGGTCATTCTCAGTAAGTATTGAATTTGAGGCCCCAGCTACCTAAGTCTTAAATAAACCAACCAGAACACCAGACTTATAAATCCCGTTCAATATCAGCTTCTGCAAATATATAGTCCGTGTGGGTATCTGCTCTTGCCTTGGCATCTTGTGAGTTACCTATGCTGGGTACTATTCTAAACACCCAGCGGTATTTTCCTTACTTTGCATAACAATCTAGGAGGATAGTTATTATTATCCCTATTTTACAGTTGGAGGAAGTGGAGGCACAAAGGGGTTCAGCCAAAAACACAGAGCTTTTAATTTAGGCCATCTGTACCCAAAGACTTGTCTCAATCACTGGGCACAAGCAGGCACCACTTAATTCCCCATTTTCCTCTGCGCCTACATCATGTATTTGAGTCTCCCATCAGTCAGACCTGGCAGGCAGACTGCAGAGTGTCTCTGTGGCAGTGCCATGCTAGACCCTTAGAAGCCAGTTTGTTTATTATGTATACAGTGTTCTGCTGCGAGTATGCAGGCAGGCCAGAAGAGGGCACCAGATCTCATTACAGATGGCTGTGAGCCATCATATGGTTGCTGAGAATTGAACTCAGGACCGCTGGAAGAGTTGTTAATGTTCTTAACAGCTGAGCTATCTCTACAGCCCCCAAGAGGCCAGTTCCAAGAGCTGATGACCTAATGCTTGCGTCTCCAGCATCCAGATGGTTCACCATTGTACCATCCACGGGAATACAGAAGAGCTTCGGCAGATGGCGGCCAGCCGCGAGGTGCCCCGGCCTCTTTCCACCTTGCCCATGTTCAACGTGCGCACCGGAGAGCGGTTGCCTCCTCGAGTGGACAGCGCACAGGTGCCCCTCATCCTGGACCAGCACTGAGAGCAATGCCAGGTGGGTCTGGTTGGGCAGCGCCATCCTCTAACCATTAAATATGGGAGCCTCTATCTCAGGACACGGGCATGTGGTGGGACGTGGGAGGGGGTCACACCGACTGGCCCACCCCCCACGTGCAGGGGGTTCAGCAGAGCGGGAGTGCTGTGTCCCACAACTGCCGAGCACTCAGGACTAGAGCCTCAGGATAAGGAAGACGGGTTTGGCAACCTCAACCTCCCCTCTGTCCTCCTCATTCCAGATGCACCACTCAGAGCTGCTGACCTGTGACCACCCCTGATTCCAGCGCCTAGTCTCCTTGACCTCCCACACCGGACAGGCAGATGGATGGGGTAGGGAGGGGTGAGGCTGCTTGGGGACAGCACCCAAGAATAAATACCTGCTGCTCTGTTCATCTATTGCTTCCAGTGTCTCCTCAGTAGCTGTCACTACCCCTGTGTCCCCTTCTGAGAATCCCCAGAGGCTGCCAACCTTTGGACTCTTCCAGTTTTGCTGTTCTCAAATTCACTGGATCTGATCATGAGATTTGACTGGATTATTAGCCCCACTTTCTAGACCAGGAGACTGAAGCCTGTGGAAAGCAAGTGACTTCCCAGTGCCACAGAGTAAGCCCTGTCTAGCCATACACTGCCTTCTGGGAGGTTGAGTTTGAGAAACAGGGGACCTAGGTCTTTACCTAGAGATCTGGTTGAAATCTGCCACAGTTCCCTGTAGGGCCTTCAGTGTGCTCAGTGTTTGAGGAGAAGCTGATCTCAGTATGGAGCTGTTGGGAGGTGTTACTGGCTGACCATCCTAGGCTCCAGAGGTCTGTCATTCTAGAATGTTCCCTAAGTTGAGTGTTGCCAGTGTGACATCTCCCCCATAAGCTCTGGTGTGTTTAGCTGGCTGCAGAGGCCTGGGATTGTTTTCCCATGTTGCTACAACTGGAGTGGGCCATCTGCACTGCAATGGGGGCTTACATGTTACCACTTCCGTGGAAGGACAGTCTGAGACTAAGATTGAAAGGGAACCTGGCAACTCCAAGAGAATGCATGCAAGAGCCCGACCCTCCTTAAGGCTTCTTTTCTGGTAACTCCAGCCCCTTAGCTCCCCCCACCTCTTTCTTTCAACATGGTTTCTCTACATAGACTTAGCTGTCCTGGAACCATGTAGACCAGGCTGGCCTCAAACTGCCCCATATTTTCTCACAACTTCCTTCACTTGTAGTCATTTGGTATCTGCTCTAACACATCCTCAGAGAGACCCTCCCTGTCCCCTCTGCTTCCATGGCCTCCAGGGTCCCTTCACAACCCTCTTGCCTCTCTGACAGGAGATGCTGTCTGCACTCATGGGCTGCCTGGGCTGGAGAGATGGCTCAGTAATGAAAGGCTAGGCTCACAACCAAAACATCAAGTCTTCTTCTAGATCCAGGATTCTGTCCACCCTCTCTCTAACAGTTCATTCCACCTCACCCCTACCCTCTAAACCCCAGCACAGATCCTGCACAAAGATGCCAGGCAAGGCTGTTTGGAGGGAATACCTGAGGGACATTGTTGTCTGTGTGTTTGCTCAGAGTCTGTCTGTCTGTCTGCCTATCTTTCTGTGTATGGGTGTTTTGTCTGCATGTACATCCCGTAGAAGCCAAAAGAGGTATCAGATTCTCTGGAACTGGAGTTACAGATGGTTGTGAGATGCTATAAGAGCAGCTAATGCTCTTAACTGTTGAGTCATCTCTTCAGCCCCTGTTCAGAGTTCTTTTCTTTTTAAACAACTAGTTAGTAAGTGCAGTAATGGGAAGGGGAGAGGGGAGTAAGAGCAGGAGTCAGTTGTGATAAGTCACTACCTTCAGACCAGCCTGCTCAGAGCTCTTAAGGAGGCTGCACTTCCACTTTGGACAAAAGGCTAAGGCTCTATCATTATCTTCTGTACCTCCACTGCAGTCTGGGCACCCCAAACCCATTAGCTGCTTCGCTAAGGAACTGAGTTGTTAAGCATTGACAGAGGCTGTGTGTGTGTGTCTGTGTCTGTGTGTGATTTGTGTGTGTGTGTGTCTGTGTTTGTGTGTGCATGTCTGTGTATTTCTGTGTGTGTGTATTTGTGTGTGAAAAAGAGAGAATGTGCTAGCACAGTATATGTACTCAGTGAATAAGGCTGGAGGGATGATCTCTAATCAAATGGTTCTTTGTAGAAGAAACAGATGCCTCTGGCTTCTCATTGGCTGTTTCCTTCAGCTTAGTATAGTGGCCCTAGGGCTTAGGTTGGCTTCCCCTGGGTCCCTGTGCCCTTAAGGTGGGGACTTCTGGCTCCTCTCTCACCTCGTCTGGTCTCCTGCATGGCCTTCCTGGGTTGGTTAAGGGTAGGAGAGTGAGAAGTCAGCTCCTCCCTTCTCTCCTCCCTCCCTCTGCTTCCTGGCCTTTCTTTGGGGTCTTGGCAGCCTCTTCCCCTCAGCTCAGTTCCAGAGAGCACACAGGAGCCTGCCTGGCTGTCTTCCTGAAAGGAAGTGGCCCAGACAAGTAGCCTGGAGGATGGCGTGACTACAGAAGACACTGAGCCCTGCCTGGGCACATATGAATGTCCAGCTGACCAACAGCATAGCAGGAAGACATAGATACACTCAGTCCCCACTCTGCTTCCTAGGCAGCAGCCTCTCCTGGAAGACTAAGTCCATACTGTACTCAGGACCACGTCCTGCGATCCCTAACAAAGAGTAGCAGCTATCTCCAAACCCCCACCTTCTGTGGCCTCACCCCACACTCTGCTCCACCCCACTTCTGTCCTGTTGATGGCCCTTCCTTTGTGCCCTGATGAGTGGCCTCCACGTTTACTCTAAAAACAGACTGCACACGTGGCCTCACTCCCCAGACATTTCCTCACCACATTGTCCAGGCCCTGGAATACAGGGCACCGCCTACATCAGGCCTCAGCCCCTAAGGCAACGCCTTCCCAGGCAGGGGTTAAGCATGGCTCTGGCACACCATAGCAGCATCAAAATTAGTTTGTTCAGAAGAGGAGTCATCCCTACTTCAGGACTGATGTGAGAATCCATGAGGACAGGCAAGCTGGTGCTTCCTAAACACAGCACTATCAAGAACAGCCTCTCCTTGGTCAGAGATGTGTGGGTCTCTCTGATCCATCAGATCCAGACTGATGGGCTCTGTCTCCACCAATGAATGCCTCAGCACATTTTGGTTTTTCCTTCCGAATGGAGGTGAATGATGAAGTTCCCACTCCTTGCTGCCAGTCGTGTGTGGACACCAGAAACATGGCTAAAATTTAAACTAAGATGTGTACGATTTTAATGGTATTAGGGGTTGTATTTGGTTAAATAAGATATGAAACTAGTTGGACCTGATTTATTTATTTATTTATTTATTTATTTATTTATTTATTTATTTATTGTCATGTCATGGGTCTCATATAGCCCAGGCTTTGAATGAGATATGATGTCAAGAGATGACTTTGAGCTTTTGAGCCTGTCTCCACCTCTCCTGTGGGACTAGGGTTTGAACCCAGAGAATTGTGCATGCTAGAAATCACTCTACTATCTGAGGTACACTCCCAACTCATCTCTCTTCCTTTTTAGATATGGATGCTAGAAAATAGAAAATGCATGAGTGGCCCACAATCTACTTTTTACCATTACACACACACACACACACACACACACACACTCACGCACGCACACCTACATGGTGCATGTGGGGGTACAGAATCCACTGCATGTGTGTGGAGGTTGGAAGAAAACTTGTGAGAGTCAGTTCTGTCTTTCCATCATAATGGTTCCAAGGAGCCAACTCAGGTTGTCAAGCTTGGCAAGTACCTTTGCTTGCTGAACCACCTTACTTGCCCTACATTCTATTTTTATGGGGGTTAGTGATGGTTTCATGGCTTTTCCAAGTCTGCTCAGACCCAAACTTAGCCTCTTCCTTGGTCTTGTTGCTTACTGTCTGCTCGTGTTCCACAGCTCTCAAGAGGGAAGTTTGCCACATAGCACTGAATGTCTTCCAACACGAGAATGTAGCCTCTACACTCTGAAACAGCTTTGGTCCCTATCACAACTCGCATCTTCCTCTTTGTCTTTCTTTTCCAGCTACCCTCCTTTCTGATTCCTCCTATCACACCTGGCCCAGCTCCCTTGGGTACCAATTCACTTCCCTCCCTCCTTAGCTTTGTACATTCCCTGCAAAGAGTTGAAATTTCCATATGCACAAGGATCAGTCACTCTCCCAGAAAGACTATTTTCTTCCCAGGTCCCACTTCCTCTGTGCAAATGTCCCAGCTCAGTTTGGAGCACGCACTCAGGAGAGAAACACTAATAGCCTCTTGCCAGGTTTCGAAAGTTTGGGATGTTTGTCTCCTTTCATACCCAGCCCTTCCTTATTTTCCCAATGTCTCCCTGCTCACCTCTAACTAATCACACTTCACTGCAACTTATAAGACACTATATTCTACCGTCTAAAACAAGCAGGGAGGGTCCTGTGGACATAGATACATTTAGTTACAGGTAAGTGGGCACAGAAAGAGACAAATTCTCATCCACTCAGGTCCGACTGACACACCACACGGGGCCACTCAGAGGTTCCCATTTACTCCTTCATGTCATCACCCAGGCCCCACTGTGGTTTTATGAGCACCTCCCCTTTCTCCTGCTTGCATCTGGGTGCTCTTGTCCATCCCACACACTCTCCACATCTTCCCTCACACTGGAGCCTCCAAGTTCCAGCTAGGAGCTCCCAGTCTTCCCCTTCATCCTCACACAGCTCTGTCTATGGATGTCTTGGGAACAGCAATAGAATTAAGAGGCTGAAACAAGGAGGAAAAACCCACCATCTTTAGGTTACAGCAAATCCTTCCAGGAGGCAGCCAGGCGCAGGTCCCTCCCTAAATAGACCAGGATTCCGAAACAGCAGCAGAAAGTGGAAAATCAAAATGAAGCCTTTTTCTCCCTCTAAATTTTTCCACTTGGATTTGTCTAAAATATCAGTCCTAGGAGACTCATCCTTCCCACAAAGACAAAGGTGA